TGCATTGCAATTGGATTATCCTTCCGTTCCTGCTTCCGACTCCGACAATCTGGTTTTCACTAGTGCATAAACGGAACGTAAGCGACGGAGTCAAAAGCAGAGTCGGAGGAAATGGAAACGCCCTGATTATTATGACTCTGATTCCGTCGCGCTTATGACCCCACTTACGACTCCAATTTTTGATTTCCACTAGATCATAAGCGCTCGACTTACAAATCCACTTACGACTCCGACCCGGTCGCTAGTGAAAACCAGCCTTAAGCAGTCATCAAGAAAAATAGTTCTACAATAACAGATTTCGGTTTGAACATAGAGATTTACTGCTCTTTCCAAAAACATGCAAATTCTGTCTGCAGTTTTCGTTGCCCTCAATCACCTTAGTAGACCTTTTAGGAAACAGAACTTTACTTTAATCAGTTCAAATGGTCATGGTTTGTGATTTGTGACAGGTGGATTTCAATTTGTTTTGTGTTTTGGTGTTTCAATTTTCGTTGCTTGTGCTTGTAACAATTTCTGTGATTGAAAGCAACGAAAAATGCAATTGTGAAGGCAGCTTTTAAATTTCAGAGTTTGTATGTTTTTGAAAACTGAAGTAAAATTCATGGACAAGATTAGTCTTTATGTTTAGTCTCATTATCTTGTCAGCTGTAAGTTTTACAAGAAGAATGCAAGTGCTAATCAATGCTTGTTATTGCTTATTATTTAAAATTTATAGGCCAATGTCTTGTATAGCATGAAGAGACGGCTATACAATTCAAAGTATTATTTCCACACAAACAAAAACAACCATTGGCCAGCCTGGTCCAACCAGATGAAAAAGAAGAAGAAAAGATCTATCAACAACTTGAGGCTGAGATGAAAAGGGAGACAAGCCGATATGAGGTGTTACATCACCTCATATCTCTAACATTTAAAAGCAGATGTTCAGCTATTGATCAGATTCAAGAGAAAGATGTCACCAAAGTGGTAATGGAGAAGTACCCATTTCTGGGAAATGAGAAGGCAGTAAGTTAAAGTATCATTAAATGATTTAAACAAAGAAATGCAACATACACATGCAGTTTTCTTAATAATAGGACTAGTTATTACGGATGGTCTTTGAATACACGTAAGCAAAAGCCATGAGCTTAAGTGCCTCTTAGTATAAGATTAACCATCAGAAATACTTTTGGTTCAACTATATACACTGGCTCATTAAAATCCATTAGCCTTCCATGAGGGATGACAAACACTTAAACAGTGAGGCTTGGTTTGACCTTTATAATTTGTATATACACCCTGTACATGTATACTATTATGTGAATGTACTCTTACATGTATGTATGCATGTAATCTTCCAGTTCATGTATTTTGACTTCTGGACTATTTTAGTTTGATACTAGGGTTTTTAAATGTAGTGACTTGTTAGAGTGTCAGATTTGATCAGAAACAGAGGAAATTCTACCCGAAAATAAACCACAACACGTTAGCACAAAAGAGGTAATGGCAGAGAAATTTTTTTTGAAAAATGACACTTTCTATCTCTTCTTCAGTCAAATATCGATGACTCATCCCATTTTGACATGCACTACGTCTGGGTAGCTTGTGGTATTTCTAGTATTTTTTTGAACAAAAGCATGAATATTTCTTTTATCATCCCATGCATATTAAATGAGGTGCTGTATGTTGATTCAGAATTTTTAAGCACCCTTTTACTTTCTTGCGTGCTCACCTTATCCATGAAATAAAACAGCGGCTCACATCAAAATACTTCAGATAAATGCATAATGAGCGCTCCATCTTCATCATCTGAAAAATGGCATAAAGAGCTTGTTTTACACTCTGTATGTAATTGGCTTTTGAGGAAGGGATACAAAACAAGCATTTAGATGGCAGAAGTTATTGTACCATGTTGAATCGGCTGATTGTACTACAAATATCCAAAAAATAAAAGGAAGATAATAACAGCATTTGAACTTAAGGCTGAGATGCTTGTGACCGAATTGCGTCCCGCACATTCCATTCATTCCTAGTGGACGTCCAAACAAATGCTGGCTACATACATGCAACGCGTGCGTAAAAAGAACTGGAGATTAGGATTGCGGGCTCCTTTTGTTGCCTGCAATTAAAATTAACTTAAAGCATGCAGAGAAAATTATTAAGCTTCCTGGAATATCACACTGGTCTTTGAACCATCCTGTACACATTTCTTGTGAGGCTTTCCTTGCAGTCTTTCCAGTTTTCCTCCATATCTGTAAACCTACACTTGATCCTCAGCTAACATATCTTTAACTGAATGTGGCATTTTGTCAAGTTTTGCACTCGTATGTACTATCCACTGGCATCACTAGCAGGGACGGGTACCGCGGGAATTTTGGAGCAAAACTCAAGACACTTCTGCGACATGAAACTGACTGTCCTTCCCATGGCAAATGCTGTATTGTTTTGTGGACGCTAAGCTTGAACATTCAAACCGTGTAGTAATCCTTCCCATTATGTGAGTCATGGCAGAGCATAAAAGGTCAAGTCTTTGTTGATGAGCAAGCGATTATTGTGCATGTGCAATGGGTTTGGGGAGCCAGCGAGCAAGAAGCTTCCCTGCAAGCAGAGTTCTCTCACAACAAGGCAAAAATGAGAGGAAGGAGAGAGTCTATCTCCTTCCTGTTATTTCCTCGTTCTCATTTCCTCCCTCTTCCTTCCTCATTTCTTTGTCTCTCCTTTTCTCTCCTTTCCTCTCATTTCTCATTTCCTTCCTCGGAGAAATGAGAATAAGGAAATCACAGGAAGGAGAGAGACTCTCATTTTTGCCTCATTGTGAGAGACCTCTGCTAACAGGGAAGCAAGAAACCTGATCACACATTACCTGAAGATTAGCCATTTGCAATATGGAGCGGACCCGTCAGTTAATTGCGAATTTATAGCGCTTCACGTGGAGATGATTTGTTTTCCTTATAGGCAGCCTTTACTTTATATTTAGTGCAAAACCTACAAGTGCAAAACTCAACTTAAAATGCCACGTTAACCGGCCAGGACCGACAAGGAGACATTCAGTTAAAAAAATGTTAGCTTTGTTTTGTTATATTTTGATTTCTGGACTATTTTAGTCCGATATTGGGGTTTTTAAATAGTGGCTTGTAAGAGTGTAAGATTCAATTAGAAATGGAGCAAATTCTACGGAAAAATAAACCATGACACTTTAGAACAAAGAGATAATGGTAAAGATATATTTATTTGAAAAATGACATTTTCTAACTCCTCTTCAATCGAATATCGACGACTGATCCCATTCGTCCGTGTTTTTGATGCTCACTACAGTCACTACGTCTGGGCCACCTGTGGAAATACGTACCTCACAGAGCCTCTAGTCTTCTATATGAAATTTAAAACGACCAGGAAAGACAAAATAATTAAGACTAAAATTACAATTGACTTAATTTGAGCTGGATAAAGTATGATATCAATCTCTTTTAAGTCAAGTCAAAAAGCTCGCAGTCCATGAAAACTAAGTCTTCATAGACGTTAAGGCGTTAAGTTGCCAATTTTAAGTTTAAATTGGCAACTTACCGCCTTTTTAATTTACACTTCAAGCCTATGGTAGAATTACATATCATACTTTTTACTTACTTTTACGTAGTGGAACTGCTTTAGTACTACCCTGGTCCCAGAGGTTTTTCTTGAAATCTTGAGGATTTGCTGGGAACAGTAAACTGTAATGAGTTAAGCCGATATAGGGAGGGAAGAAATAGTGCCAGCCCGTCAGTGTCCGCAATACAATTCAACACAAAACTGACAGTTTTAATGAGAATATTGCTGATAAGGACTTTATACAACATGTCATTTAAGCTTATACTTTCTGTGTAACTGAAAACGTTCAGCCTTGAAAGTTTTCGAGAACTTTGACTGTTATTGTGAAGACGATTGTGAACCAATAAAGCAGAATGCATTGTGAAACTGAATTCTGATGTATGACATCTTCCTTATAACAGGTGGGTGAAAAGAGAGGCTGCAAATATTACGTCTTGTCCCAACGTCAAACTCCAAATATACAGATCGAGACCCTGAGAAAGAAAAGAGACCATCGATTCCCACATAGTAATTTAGCATCATTTGAACGGTCCTGGATCGCCTTAAACATTAAGAATAATTTTCCTTGAAATAAGGACTGGTTTTTCTTCTTGAAATAAGAAATTGTTTCTTAAGAATAGAAATTTAACTTAAAATTAAATTCTTAAATACTTTTTAATTTAAGAAACTACCCGCTCATAATAAAAATTATTTTTCTTAAATTAAAATTTAGAATGCTTTTAGTTAACGTAAGGCCCGTTTCTTTGGTTAAGAACTTTTCCTTGAAATAAGATTTTTTTTTCTTAAAATAAGAAATTTCAGTTCCGAAAAAAAAATCTTAATCTGTAGTTTAGTTTGAGAAATTTTGATCTTAAAATAAGATTTTCAGGTTTTAGAGTGCTATACAGTACAATGTATTGTGAAAAATAAAAACTGTACTTTAAGAACCACAGTTCAGTGTCTCACTGGACCTCATTCTGACTGCTACATTTTCCGTGCAAAAATGATTTTCAAACCATTTACATTTTGACTTTCATGCTTCAACATGTCACTAAATTAAGTTAATCCTCTAGGTCATTGGTTCCCCAGAATCAAATTTCATGTAATATTAATATAAACCCTTTCAGAATTACTGTTTGCATTCTTGTTTGCAACCAAACCAACGGAGTAAATATTAGTTTTACAAAACATTAATTGTACATATTGCAATCTTAATTTGCATTATCTTTGAAGTATTGACATATTTGCACCAGCACCAGCTTGTTTGAGGAGACTCTGGGTTTGTTGTCAAACCTCTCCATCAGAACTTGCTTCACCCCTTCTTCCTTTCCTCTGGTATACCACTTATAGGTGATGGAGACCCAAACCTGAGCTTGCACACTTAATGGCCAGTGAGGCTGACATGTACTTATCTCTGACTAATGGCTGCAGGATATTAACCAGAAGTTTCTTTTCTCTTTTTCTTTTAGGAGCTTCTGATAGGATGCCACCCATGAAACTTTGAAACTGTGCTTTTGTAGCAGTTTGACATTTAGAAACTTGTTCACCAGCTGGTAGAGTGTTTACACATCTGCAAGAGCATTGTGAGCTTCATAGGATTTACAGAGAAGATCTTGTACAAGGTTTTCCTGGCTACGGGATTTCCTTTCTGGAAGCAATTCCCTGAATGCTGGAAGAGAGTCTGTAAAGCCTGAAACAGTTTGAGCTAAGTCATCCATGAATCCATTTTTCTCTGCTGCTTGCACCAAGAACTTGGCATCAAAGGATTTGCAATTGTGTACCACTAAAATGCAAGGCATTCTTGATTTAAGCCACTCAATGAAGTTCTTTAGGGCCACATTAATTGCAACAGCATCAGTGATTGGCTTCCCATCATAAAATCAAAAACTTGATGAGCACTTCACAAGAGAAGGGCATGCTGGCTTTAAAAGTCACTCATGAATGCTATTACCAGGTTCAGGGTCAAATGGCCCTAATGGGTGCAAAATGGTGTGATTTCATCATTTACACCAGAAAGGGTGTGTCAGTTCAAACGATCCATTTTGATGAACCGTTTTGGAAGGCAAAAGTTAGATTACCCGTCAAGTTTTTTCCTTATTTTCTTCCCACGTTCATTGAACTCAAAACATGTCAGCGGAGATAAACTTTTAATGTTAGCTTTAATCATGATGCTAACTTTTTTGCTACCAGCAGCAATACATTGAGGCACGCTTCCTGGTTCTCTCAATTTTTATGTATATATTTAACCATTAAGGATGTAACACACGTTATAACACACATTTTCCAACAGGTAATTACAAAGTATTGTTACATACAATGTGGTTATCTCACAAGGGGTGGTTGCAGGTTTACAAGTGCTGCTACTACCAGAAGGATGTCATTGGTACTTTCCACTAATGTAAGATCCCATGTTGAGTTCAGTATTTTGTAAACCTTCATGCAGCAAATAGCTCGCTCAATTTAACACACTATGATACAGATTAAATTTACATATACAATTAATACAATTTTAAACAGGAATAAAAAATAGTAGCATCAAGTAGACAGCAAGCTGGGATCATCCAAATAACAAAGGCTAATCTAGGGGATGACCCCGATAGAATACAATTACACACAGAATCCAGAATATATTATTTTTATAAAAAGCATTTCTTCTTAAGATAAGGCAGACAATTAATTGACATGACAATTTAGCATAGAGTTCTTCAAAGCTCTACTAAACTGTCTATGAGAATCTGATTTAGTAATACATACACTCGATAGTATGGCAATCCACTTACAGCTTTAGTTTACTGTGTAAACACAAATGGCAAAAAAATCTTTCTAAAATACTTGATTTGAAAACATGACATACCTCGCACCACCAAAAATATATTTAGTTTATAACAAAGATATAAACAATGAAATAAAAAAACGAAGAAAGTAAAAAGACAACATCAAAACAATTTTTTGCGAAATGTGAAGAAGTAAGAGTGGAGTTATTAAAAGTTTTCATCAGAACACAAGTGAAACTAAACATATATTACTGGTCGTGTTCCTGGGCAAGCATCGACACGGAGTCTTTTCTGCTATAATCTGCAAATTATTCTAGGCCGGTTGTGCTTGCTTCGTAGCACTCCCAATTTTCTGTACTTGTATGGAATAGTTCGAAAAAAAGGGCAGGACACAAAGATAACAGTGGCAAGGAAGGATACAACAAAATGTACATCAAAATTAACAAAAAGGAACGTAAGCCATTTCTATGTGAAATGTGAAACCACAATCACAGTGTGGAATTGCTTTCATTTAAATTCATATTTTTTGCTTATTTTGAAGAGGGTATGAGTGCATCAGAAGCATTTCATCATCATGAAACCCTGTTGATGAAGGATCCAGTACCTCATGCTACTGGCTGATCGGAGAATTTGCCCTTCTCTGAGATATGTTAACAATTTATATGAAAAATGGTTGGTTGAAAAGAAGGGTGCATCCAATGCATCTGCAATGTTTGATTGCCTTAAAGAAATTGTAAATTACTACAACAGGAACAACACAGATAAGGGAGGCAAGTGTTACTTGCAAAGGGTTGACAGAAATGGTTCAGCCAAGCACGATCTAAGGGATGGACCATTTTATTTTTGAGGGGGGGGTCGGGCAATTACCAAAAAAAAATTCCTGCATAGCAAAAGTTAAGAAAAAAAAATCATGCACAGTGGGCCAGGGAAAAAAAAAATCGAGCAAGCCTTTCTACTGGTAGGATCCTGTTAGAGCAAATAAAAAGGTAATCTGTAATTTTTGTCAATTTTATTTCAACAGACCAAAAATGCTGTTAAACTGTTTGTAAAATAATTCACTTCTTTGTGTTTCATATCATAAATATCAAAAATACAACATTTCCATCCATCTCTTGTAGTAAAACATAAATTTGAACCATTTCACTGAATCTGGTATAATATAAAAATCATGTCTTAAAATATCATTTATATTTAAATATAACTTGTATTATAAAATAACTTTTAGCTATCTTCAACATATCTCATATATATTTATTAAATAACAATAACTGCAATGTCTTATAGTGTCTATGTTTCTGCCCCTTTTTCTGCTTCTACAGAAGCTTCTTAACAGACCAAAAATGCTGTTAAACTGTTTGTAAAATAATTCACCTCCTTGTGTTTCATATCATAAATATCAAAAATACAACATTTCCATCCATCTCTTGTACATCTCTTGTAGTAAAACATAAATTTGAACCATTTCACTGAATCTGGTATTATTATAAAAATCATGTCTTAAAATACCATTTATATTTAAATATAACTTGTATTATAAAATGACTTTCAGCTATCTTCAACATATCTCATATATATTTATTAAATAACAAAAACTGTAATGTCTTACAGTGGCTATGTTTCTGCCCCTTGTTCTGCCGCTTCTTCCACTTCTGCCCCTTGTTCTGTCACTTCTTCTGCTTCTGCCCGTGCCCCTCCTTCTGCCATTGCTTCTGCTTCTGTCACTGTTTTTGCTTCTGCGCCTGCTTTACTCTTCTTTCTTTTTTTGTTTTTTTCATTTAATTTCTTGCGCTTCCTCAGCAGAGATACATGAGAAGCTGAAGAGCCAAACTTCTCTCTAGCTATCTGGACCATTTGGTTTGCCCTTTCCAAAATGGTGCCAATCTCTCCTTCAACACTTAGGATACTGGGCCTGAGCTTGGAATAAAATTCCCAAGTTTCAAGGAGGCCTATAACAGTGTGAACATAGAAATTAATAAACAGTACATGTAATTTTTAAGCAAATGAAATATCTTCGCAGTAATGTACCCAACTTAAAGCAGTTGAGAAAAGCAAGCCTGAAAAAAAATTATGGCTTGAACGGGATTCGAACCTATGACCTCTGCGATACCGGTGCAGTCGCTCTACCACTGAGCTATCAAGCCAAGGGGTTTGGCCATTTGTGAGTTCGTTATATACCCGTAGATGGAGAGGATATGAGATGAATATATAAAATTCATATATTTGACGTACTGCAGATAGCCGCGGTACAAAAACACGACTTTCATATAATTTCATATATACATCTCAGTACATGTACTATTGGAGTTGAAGAAATTATTGTTAAAGTGATTCCTGTGAATGCATGGATACATAAAAACTGATATTTTATATAACAAGTGTATTCATGCTCACCTTCTTTGACAGGGGTGCCACACAATGCGATCTGCTCATCGCACTGTTGCCTTGCTTCCTTTGCCAAATTATGCGCCTTTTCTATGCCCTCGGTAAATTTGCACAGGGAATCGTACATATTCCGTGGGACTTCCTGCCCATCTTCAGCCTCCAAGCAGCTTTGAACTTGAGGGTAGCACTCACACATCTGCTGATGTAGCCCCCAAACGCTTCGGCCTCTGTAATATGGGGTCCACTTTGATAATGCACACTTTTGTGCTGAGGCAATCATCAGGGAAATTCGCTGTTGGCGCATTCTTCTGCACCAAAGTTTGCATTCTCTAAGAGACTTTGAAAACTGCATCCTGTATTCTGCCATTTGTAAAATAAATGTATTTGAGAAAGTTTGAAACGGGTTCAGTGGGTTATCATACCAGAGGTTCTGGTATTTAACCTTCAAGGCTTTTGAAGAAACCACGATATCTCCTTGGCCATCTCTGGTGTGAAAAAAGTCCTTAAATCCGGGCCATAAGGACAGCACCACAGAGGAACTGGATGTCTTGTAAGATGTGGTACCAGTAGAACATGTAGCATTTGATGATGGTGGTGCACTTTTTGTCTTCTCTGCGTTCCAAAGAGCATACTCCCGTTTCAACCTCTTTAGCTGGATTTTGCTTAACCCAAATTCTTTCGCATCTTCCTCGTCTATATCCTGTAAATGTTCAATTTTCTCTACACCTTGCTTAATAAAAGCATCTTTAAAGTTTTCGAGGGACGTTTTCTTTAGAAAGGACAAAAACTGATCATCACGATCATTGACCGTGTTTTCCTCGACGTCCGCCATCTTGGAAAAAGGCCAGGTTGCCAAATACAATGCAGTCTTGTTTTCAGTCTTACTCGACATTTGATCGGGAAAATGGCGCCAACGACAAGGGGAAGAGATGTTCGTCGAAATTTCAATTCAGCTTTCCTTGGTTTCAAGAATATAGAAGTATCAGTGTGTAACATGACTGTTACTCAAGCTCGTGAAATGTTGTTAGAGAAATCGCGATCGACAATATCTGAATTATCAAGAACCAGAATAGATTCCTGGATCAGTCTTCTAGATGAGCTGAGCGTAAATCGCATTCTCGTCCCCAGAGCCGCTTGGCCCTCTTAACCGTCGGAGACTGAGCACGAGGGCCGAAGGGCTCTGGGGACACAGAATCCGGAAGTCCTAGAATTTAGGAGTTCCGGTCGTTCTGCGCAAGCTCGACAAATCATAATGGCGGCCTCAGCAGACATTAAATTCAAGGAATCCTTGTTAACAGCTT